AAAAAAAAAAAAAAAAAAAAAGGATCACTCTATAACTGTACTGGGTTTTCATGTTGGTTGTAATCATCTTGTTCCACTACTTTAATAATTAAAAAATATTTTATTATAATAATGTTTTGTTTCTCTATAAATACTTAAAAAGAAATAAATTCTTCTATTTTATTTATAAAAAGGAAAGTGTAAAATTCCTTATATGCCCTGATATTTAAAGAAATGTATTGATATTTCCTGTATCATGAAACCTAATTCCAGTCATATGAGGTAGAAACAAGAATTTAAATAGGATATTTTATAAAGATTATATTTTAATTTTGAAACTACCTAAGAAAAATATAAGGTACGTATTTAAATAGATCAATTTTATTTATCTAGCATTAAATTACTGTATATAGTCAGTATATATTCAGGTTTCAGTAACTTGCCCTTTAAAACTAATTCACTGTTCACAATAGATTGATTAACTCATTTCCTACACAAATGAGGAAATGCCTCAAACTGGTTGTACATCATGTTTTATTAAGGAAATAATGACATGTCCCAATTTTGTGCTATATTCTTTAAACTGTTTATGACTTACTAACACTACTAGCAGAATTTTTAAAGAAAATTTATGTTTTCTTGGCATAAAAGTGAGTATAAAGAATCTTTATAATTTTGTTTGGTTTATTAAAGATTAGGTGGCTGTAAGATGTTAGTTTCATCTCCTAGTTTTCTATTTGGTTCCAGATGTCATTGTCTCTATTTTTATGCCAACCCCATGCTGTTCTGATCACTATGGCCTTGTAGTACAGCTTAAAGTCTGGTAGGCTGATGCCCCTGGCTTGTTTTTGTTACTAAGAACTGCCTTAGCTATACAGGTTTTTTTCTGGTTCCATACAAAATGAAGATTTATTTTTCCCAAGTCTTGAAAGTATGATGTTGGTATTTTGGTAGGTATGGCATTGAATCTGTAGATTGCTTTGGGAAATATAGACATTTTAACAATGTTGATTCTTCCCAGCCATGAGCATAGTATGTTCTTCCATTTGTTAATATCTTCTGCTATTTCTTTTCTCAAGGTTTCATAATTTTCTTTATAAATATCCTTCACCTCTTTTGTGAGGTATATTCTTAGGTATTTCATTTTCTTTGAAGCTACTGTGAAGAGGATTTTGTCTTCAATAAATGAAACAAGAACATACACTGGGGGAAAGAATCTCTATTTAATAAATGGTGCTGGCAGAATTGGATATCCACATGTAAAAAAATGAAACTGGACCGGCACCATTCTCTACTCACAAAAATTGATCAAGGTGCATAAAAGACAAACAACTAAGGCATGATAAAAATCCTCAAAGAAAGCATGGGAAAATACTTGAAGATTTCAGTCTGGCAAAGGCTTTATGAAGAAGACTCCCGTGGCATTTGCAATAACGACAAAAATAAATAAATGGGACTTAATTAAACTGACAAGCTTCTGGACAGCTCTGGATACAACAACCAAAGCAAATAGACAATGTGCACAATAGGAAGGGATATTTACCTATTTTTAATTGGACAAATGCTTGATAACTAGGATCAACATAAAAAAAGCCAACAATCCCTGATACGAATGGGCAAGAGATGTGAATAGAACCTTCTCGAAAGAAGACAGACAAATGGATAACAAGCTTCTGTACATCTCTGGAGACAACAAACAAAGCAAATAGACAACCTGCATAATAGGAAAAGATATTTGCATATTTTGAATTGGACAAATGCTTGATAACTAGGATCAACATAATAAGAGCCAACAATCCCTTATATGAATGGTCAAGAGATGTGAATAGAACCTTCTCGAAAGAAGACAGACGAATGGATAACAAACAATTGAAAAAATGCTTATCGTCCTTAATTATTAGAGAAATTCAAATCAAAACCACCTTGGGATAACATCTAACTCCAAAGAGAATGTCCTACATCACAAAATCTCAAAACTGCCGATGCTGGTGCAGATGTGGAGAGAAGGGAACATTTTTACACTGGTGGTGGCACTGCAAACTAATACAACCTTTTTGGAAGGCAGTATGGAGAACCCTCAAGGTGGAGGGTGGGGGAAGGGGATAGCAGAGAGAGGAAAGGAGGGAGGGGGTAGGGGGTTACAGTGTGTGATACATTTTGGGGGGGCAGGTCACAGTTATAAGAGAGATTTTATCTAACAAATGCAATGAATGTGACCTGATTCTTTGTACCCTCAATGAATCCCCATCAATAAAAAATATATATGTCTATTTTAAACATTCAAGCAAGTAAAAATAATAATTAAAGATAGAATCCTTATAATCACTGCATAATATGTTTGCTTGATTTTTATTCAGATGTTTATCATTTTTCTTTGAATAATGTGAATAGGATTTGGTCTGTTAACTATATGCATTAAAATTAGTATATTACCTGAAGTATTATTTAATGTAAAGATATTCAGAAGCTTGTGATCTATTTAGCATTTTAAATTAATGTAATTGTTAGATATTCAGTAGGCAGGTAATATTTTAAACAAGTTCAGTTAAAATTTAGTATTCTTATTAACTCAATACAAATCCATTGTACCTCCAGTAATGTCAAGGTCCTTGAACATATATGCTGTCTGGTCATTTAAATATTACTTTGCTAATTATAGGGACTGTGAGTGTATAACTAATTTTATTGGTAATGGGAAATTTCACTTCATGTAAGTTACAATATTATATTACATAAACAAGTATTGCAGAAAATTGCTTGAAATTAAAATTTACATCTGTGCAAGTTATACACATAGAACAACTTTAGTTCCTCCTTACTTCTTCTTGATAAATTAAATATTTCAGTTTAATTAAAATAATTCTGAGGAATATCTAAATTGAGCCAATTGGGTATGCCTCTAATGCCCCACAGGTACCAAGATATACAAAGAATAAGGGCTTCAAAAATCCATAGTTTCAACTCAATTTTAAATAAAATGATGAGGTCCAAGAAAGTAAAGCAGGAGTTCAAATGTCCCACAATAAACTATCATGTCTTCATGACCATTGTGCATGTCATTATTATAATTATTATATAAATGCGTTTTAAATGTGTATGTCCTGACTACTCTGGTTTTTCCTTTTCTGCACACTGTGAACTAAAGAGAATAGCTATTTTTTTCTTCAATGACCCTTTTTAAAAATAACTGTAATGAGAAAAACTTCTAAACACTTTTTGTATGTGTGAAGATAAAAATGTCTTGAAATAGTTAGTTTTCCAGAGTCTCTTAAAGGACATTCTTCAATGGTGTTATGAATGTTGTCTTTGGAGAAGATAAAAATATAAACTTTATTTTTAAAGCTGAAACTACATGTTTCATAATACAGCTTCTGTTAGAAAGGAACTTCTAAATTGATTTCTTCCCTAGTCTTTGAGCTAAAATATCTACTTATATAAGCCAATGATGATTGATATTTAACAGCATTTAAACTTTGGCCATAGATGAAAATGGATTCAACTTTTGACTATTAACTATCCTTGATCTATCCTTTGCTTGTATTTGAGTGAATAGTATTTCCATTTGAGAACAATATAAAAGGCATTCAAACTAGTTTTTTTTTTTTTTTAGTTGTGTATCTCTTTATTAGCAACTAAAATAGAAGGTATCTGTTGTACAACACGGGTAGTAATTGACTATAACTGGAGATTTATTATATTCTAATACAAATCATTTATAAATGAAATTTCTTTATTAAAAAGCTTCCGCCTTTTTTTGTTTGTGTACAATTTGCAAAACTATTCTGAAAGCGGAATATATGTGCACAAGTCTGCAAAGAGTGCAAATTTAGAATATGGCAAATGCTTTATAACTTATTCTCAAAAAACTGGGCCTTTACATTATCATCTTTTTCGATCAAAATATTTTGATGCCAGCCTTCCTTCCACTGCCCTAAACTATAAAGCATTTTTGAATGAATTGAAATTAAGGAAGGACTACACCTACTAGAAAAGAAGAAATTTCCATTAGTTTGACGTTTCAGAATCCCCCCAAACCAGGCCCAGTATCTTGGTAAAGGCTAGGCTGGGACCCCGGAAAGAATATGAGAATGTGCAGGTGGCATCCTTGAGGATTCAGAGCTTCAGTGGACAGTGAGTGATCCAGCTGCATAGCTCACAGAACTGTTTTGCCAGTTTCTACACTGGCTTGACTGGGCATAATTCAAAAAAAAAAAAAAAAAGCTCATATTCATTCCATTCTTCTGGAACTCTGTGATAGCATTCAATAACACCCCAATGGGATGTCTTCCACATATAGTATTATGGTATTTCTTCAAGTAATTGCTAAAAGATACAGGGTCTAATTGTTCTATAATATTCTTACCTATTTTATCTAGATGTTCAATGGATCTATAAATCTCCCCCTGGGATTCATCATAGTAACTGTAATGGAACATTTGACCCCAGTGGCAGAAATCAGAAGAAACCACAAAGAGATTACTAGGATCTGCTAGATATTTACTGAAGAGTTTTCTGAATTCCTGTTCTTTTGACTCACTCAGAGCTCCAACCAGTACAGGAATAATGGTAAACTCATCCTTATGGGAAATAGATGGATCCACTTGCTTGTAAGCATGAGCAGCACAAGACCCACAGTATGTATATCCTGCATGGGGTGCAATAATGGCTCTAGAAGGTCTTTTGGTAGACTGTACTTGTGAAAGCCAACCTTCTAGCTATGCATTCAGCTGCAGTCCTGAGGCTGTGTACCAACTCCCAGTATGACTGGTTTCCCAGGAGACCACTCGGTTGGACATCTTGGTGCCTGTGCCGCCTATGGTGCACAAGGATGAATCTAAAATAGTTTTTGACAAAGCAAATTAGGTAAAAAAAAATATATATCTATTTTTATACATGATTTCTTCTAATAAGTTGATTTGGTGGCACCTTTAATTTAACTGTCATAATTATTGTATGTTGTCTTACAAAGTCTCTAACCTCTTGTGTGGCATAAGTAGATTTTCAAAATATTTTCAATGGAATGTCCTTCATAGTCTCTCTCATTCCTATTCTGGTCAGGGAAAAGAAAGGAGAATAGCAAATCTTAATATTACTCATCATAAATAAAGAAAAGGACCTTTTAGTGAACCTAGACTATTATACCATAAGTAGAATATTTGATGAGTTAAAATATACTATATACTTTCCCTCCCTGCAAGCACCTGAAGTAGCATTGTTTTTTTAATCAAAAACTATATTGCATAACAAAAAACACTGAAATATATTCTCTCATTTACTTTTAATGAAAACATTCATTTTTAAAAGGTAAGATGTTTAAGAAATTACATTTACATTATTTTTATTTTAAATGATTTAAACATTGAATTTACAAAACAATTTAAATTCCAACCATTAATTAATCCTTTTTGTATATGTCTTCTGTTTTCTACGTTGACCACCCTGTCCACGTCGTTATCAGTGAAAAGGCATATCCTTCAGAATAACTTTTTTTGTGTGTGTGTGGAGATAACTTTTTATTATAATGATCATGTGTTTTTCTTTTTTTTCTAATTTATTTATTTATTTTTGTTACTTATACATATGCAGATTAGGTTTCTACTTTTGCCTTCACAGAATTAAGGCTAAATTTAATGACAATAACAATGTTTAACATAAGGACTGAGAACAAAAACCTCATAAAGAACAAATGAAGATAAATATATTGAGAAAAAATAAGATGATTGCTGCAACAAAATATGAAGCAATAATAGTAAAAATGCAAAGAAAGTAACATTCACATTGTCAGATAGAAGTATATCTATTATAGAATACTTTGATAGGTTAACTTCTTATTCTTTTTCCAAAGTCTCAAAAAAATAGACAACTTATATTTATAAATAAAAGTAAAAGATAATTTCAGAAAAAAAACCAAATCATATCAAATATTATAGATGATAGAAAAATAAATACTTCAAAATCATTCTACATAATCTGGATACACCTTATGTTAAAATTGGAGAAAATGTATTATTATAAAGGGGAAATTACAAACATATTTCACTTATAAATGAGGAATTAAAAATCAATATTTATGTAATGTACTTTGGTCAAAATAAAATACAATTTATATGAGAATTAGTACCATTTTCTTTCTTTTATTATTTCCTTGCCAACACCCCCTCCCTTCTTCTCTGTCTGTATCCCCTTCCTCCACACCCTCTGTGTCATTAATTGTCATTAATCATCTTCATATCAAAATTGAATACATAGTATTCTTATTCCTCCATTCCTGTGATGCTTCACTAAAAATAATGTTCCACCTCCATTCAGGTTAGTACAAATACTGTAAAATCTCCATTATTTCTGAAGGCTGAATAATAATCCATGGTCTACATATACCACAGTTTACCAATCCATTGCTGGGTTGAAGGACATTTAGGCTGTTTCCATATTTTAGTGATTGTAAATTGGGCTGCAATAAACAGCCAAGTACAAGTGTCTTTATAATAAAAGGTGTTTTAGGTTTTTTTTTTTGTTGTTCCTTCTGGATAGATGCCCAGTAATGGGATTGCAGGATCAAATGGGAGGTCTAGGTTGAGTTCTTTAAGGTTTCTCAATACTTCCTTCCAAAAAAGTTGTATTAGTTTTCAGTCCCACCAGCAGTGCAAAAGCTTTCCTTTCTCTCCATATCCACACCAGCATTTGCAGTTTTGAGAATTTTGTGATATAGGCCATTCTCACGGGGGTTAGATAATATCTCAGGGTGGTTTTCATTTCTCTAATAATTAGGGATGATGAAAATTTTTTCATATGCTTAGTAGCCATTTGTCTATAGGCTTTAGAGAAGATTCTATTCATGTCTCTTCCCAATTGATATATGGGATTGTTGGGTTTTTTCTTGTAGATTAATTGAAGTTCTGCATATATACTGGTTATTAAACTTTTGTCTGATTCAAAATATGCAAATGTCCTTGTCCATTGAGTAGTTTGTCTATTTGCTTTGGTTCTTGTTACCTTGGCTGTACAAAAACTTTTCAGTTTCATTAAAGCCCATTTGTTTATTATTGGTGTTGTTGCTATTGCCATGGCAGTCTTCATAAAATCTTTCCCCTGGCCAATATCTTCTAGTGTTTTTTCTATTCTTTCTTTGAGGATGTTTATTTTTTCAGGCCTTAAATTTAAGTCCTTTATCCACATTGAGTCAATTTTTGTAAGTGGAGAAAGGTGCGTGTCAAATTTCAGTCTTTTACAGGTGGATATCCAGTTCTCACAGTGCCATTTATTAAATAGGGAGTCTTTACCCCAGTGGATGCTTTTGTTTGGTTTATCAAAGTTTAGGTGGCTATAAGTTGTTGGTTTCATTTCTAGGTTTTCTATTCAATTCCAGATATGTATGTCTCTATTTTCGTGCCAGTACCATGCTTTCTTGACCATTATGGCCTTGTAGTACAGCCTAAGATCTGGTATAGTGATACCCCCAGGTTTGTTTTTGTTACCAAGAACAGCCTTAGCTATACAGGTTCCACACAAAATGCAGAATCATTTTTTCCAAGTCTTGAAAGTAGGATGTTGGTATTTTAATAGGGATGGCATTGAATAGATAAATTATGCTGGGAAGTATAGACAATTTAAAAATGTTGATTCTTCCTAGCCATGAGCATGATATGTTCTTCCATTTGTTGATGTCCTCTGCTATTTTGGGGTTTCATAATTTTCTTTATAGAGGTCCTTCACCTCTTTTGTTAGGTATATTCCTAAGTATTTTATTTTCTTTAGGACTATAGGGAAGGGAATTGTGTCCTTAATTAACCTCTCATATTGGCTATTGTTGGTGTATACAAAGGCAACTCACTTGTGGACATTGATTTTATATCCTGAGAAATTATTGTATTTTTTGATGACTTCCAAGAGTCTTGTGGTTGAGTCCTTGGGGTTCTCCAGGTATAAGATCATATCATCAGCAAAAAGGGAGGGTTTTACTTCCTCTGCTTCCATTTAGATGCCCTTTACTTTCTTGTCTTGTCTAATTGTATTGGCTAAAACTTCCAGCACAATGTTGAATGGTAACAGTGACAGAGGACAACCTTGTCCAGTTCCAGTTCTAAGAGAAAAAGCTTTCAGTTTTACTCTGTTCAGTAAAATACTAGCTGTGGGTGTGTCATAGATAGCTTCGATCTGTTTAAAAATGTACCACCTATGCCTATAATCTTCAGTGTTCTAATTAAAAAATGATTCTGGATTTTATCGAAAGATGTTTTTGCATCTATTGAGGGGATCATGTAGTCTTTGGTTTTACTTCTATTGATATGGTGAATAATGTTTATGGGCTTGCATATATTAAACCAGCCTTGCATTCCTAAGATGAAACCTACTTGACCCTGAGGTATGAATTTTTTGATGATAAGCTATAATCTATTAGCTAAGATTTTAGTGATAATTTTTGCATCTATATTCATTAGTGAAATAGGTCTGAAATTCTCCTTTTTAGTTGAGTCTTTTCCTAGATTGGGAATCAGGGAGATATTTGTTCATAGAACATGTTGGGAGAAGATTAATTCCTCCTCAAACTTTTGAAATAATTTCTGCAGTACAGGAGTAAGGTTTTCCTTGAAGAATTGATAGAATACTGGTGTGAAGCCACCTGGACCAGGGCATTTTTGGGGGGAGATTTTTTTATTGTTTCTTTGATCTCAGTGCTTAAAATTGGGCTGCCAGGAGATCTATTTCATCTGGGCTAAGTCTAGGGAGAGGGTGTGATTCTAAATATTGTTCCATTTCCTTGACATTATCAAATTTCTGGTCATAAAGTTTCTGATAGTATTCAGAGCTGATCTCTTGCATCTCTGTGACATCAGTTGTTATTTCTGCTTTATCATTTCTGATTGAGGTTACTAGAGATTTTACTTTTTTTCTTCTAATTAGTCTGGCCAAGGGCTTATCTATTTTATGTACTTTTTTCAATAAAAAACAACTCCTTGTTTCATTAATTTTCTGAATGATTCTTTTGTATTCAATTTCATTGATCTCTGATTTGATTTTGGATATTTCTTTTCTTTTGATGGGTTTAGGCTTAGATTGTTCCTTTTCCAATTCCATCAGATGGCTTGTCAGTTTGTTAATGTGCTTCATTTCTGTTTTTTGAATGTAGGTCTAAAATGATAAATTTTCCTCTCAGGACTGCTTTTGCTGTATCTGATAGGTTTTGGTAGCTTGTGTCATCATTGTTCTTATATTCAAGGAAGTTAATGATTTCCTTTTAATTTCTTCCTGGGGGAAGGGGCAAGATGGCCAACAGGGACCAGCCTCTGACAGAAGTTCCCATTCAGAGGAAAGGATAAAGTCCAGAAAATACTCAACAAAGTTGAAATCTAGGAGCCCAGCCGAGAGAGGAGTGATAATTGCAGGACACTTTTGCTGAGGCAGTTGTGACTCCTAGAAAGCAATCAACAGGTACATAGTACATCCGAAAGGAAAAGTGTCTGCCCCCTCCCCCCAAAAAGTTGTGTTTTTCTCTCTGTTTTCTCTTCATCTGGTCCTGTAAGTTTCCTACAAGCGAACGGTGAACTAAGGACTTATTATCTCATCCCACATGTGAGAGCTACAGAAAGTGGGGTCTACTCCCCTACTGGGACCCTGTTGAAACTCTGAACACCCTGTCACCAGGCA